GCTAGAGTGCGTGAAGCAGTAAAAAATAACCTTTATTTTTATTTTTAACTCGAGCTCACGGCCAAACCGTAAAAAGGAGACAAATAATTCTTTCTGAAAATGTAGACATAGTTGTTGGGATTCATAAAATGTAACTTTGACAGGCAGGGTCTGCACAAAATTTAAACGGGGGTGCCGAGTCCGGCAGCAATACCTGTCTCACTCTCATTGACACCTAATGTAATCGTCTTTTTTTTTCAAAAGAATCTCACTCTGTCTTCGCACTGAGCTTACTCACTCATTTTAAGGAATATCTGAATAAAATAGAGACTGTAAGAAACTTCTGGCTTCAGTGTCTGTCACGGTGTTTTCGGTTTTTGAAAAGAAGTAACGGTTTTCTCATAATTTGCAATTGTTTTAAGCCATGTAGAAGCCAAATTCTGGGCAGATTTTCACATTGCCATGGCAACGGCAGCTCCTGACCTGTGTGCGTGTGTGCGTGCCTAGCAACCAGATAACCAACTCTCCAAGCTCCGCTAGCTTTACATTAGCCGCATGTTAGGTCTTAAATTACATTTAGTTAGGTCTTAAATATGTAAGTCCATTTACTGCTTCCTTTGTTGCTTTTCTTTTTGTTTTGTTAAATGAGTGAATGAAGTTGTGACGGTCTCCGCTGAGACAGAGGAGAGGAGAAGCTACTAGCCCTCTCTCGCTGTCACTTCTAGTCGCGTTGCTCTCCTCCCCAGTAATGTTAAATTTAGCACCAAAAAAAACATAATAGTGGTAATTTAAATAGTGATTCATGGGATTTATTAACCCTCAGGGATCCCTCTGTCCTTTTTTGGACATTTTCTTCACTTTTCTTTTTTGATTTGCTGATCATTTTGGCTGTGTTACAGCTGAAGGTATGGATTTCTGCAAGAAAGTGTCTTTTTTGACATATTTTTAAAATCTAATGTCAGTTGCTGTTACAGGTCTATTATACACTGGTAACACATTTTGTACCCTCTGGGGTTCCTCGCGTCCAAAAAAGGACACACAAAGAAAATGCTATAAAATCATCATATATCAATATTTTTTCTGCTTTTTTTTGCATACATCTCTTAAACCACTTCAGTTCTGCTCAAACCTACCAAATGTTTATTAGTTTTCAGGATTTTAACCCTTTAAATGCCAGTTTGAAGACATGTTGCCTCTTGTTTTATTAAAAAAAACAACACAGAATATGAGATATTTCCCACATAATACATGATGGAGGGATGTGACATTGTTTTATATCAGAATCTTTTATATCAAGACATTTCTCAAAACCAGAATATGATCAGGGTGACTTTTGAACACTGGAAATAAATCATGTACTCATCCCGGCAGTAGCCCCCGTGGCACTCAAAATTTCCCTGGAATTTTCTAGTCTAATTATTATTGTTTATTTATTATCAGATGTTATTATTATAATTATTATTATTATCAACTGTAATCCTTATTATTATTATTATTATTTTTATTATTATCATCAACAATGAGCTAATGGACTCATGAATTTCCCCTAGGGGATCAATAAAGTATCTATCTATCTATAACACAGAACATACAGATGATGGCTTTCAGGGTATACTGTATGTACAGAAGCCCTGAAAAGTAAGTGACTTTTTTTTCTAGGAAGAAAGAAAAATAAATTGGAAAAATGAAAATCACTTACCTCTCGGGGTTTGTTTTCACAGATGTAAAAAACATAAACTTAAAAAATATCCTGGCAAAAAAAACAAACAAAAAAAAACACTTGTCTTTCAGGGCTTCTGTACATATGTATACTGTGATCTGATATATTTTCTGGGAATTCAGTTGAGAAACAATCCATACCCAGGCTTCATGATATGCAAAAAAAAAAAAAAAAAAAAAATCAAATTGCGATTATTTTGGCAGATATTGTGATTTCAAGTTTTGCCTGGGGGCGGCGGGGGTGCTACTATATCGTACGACGAAATCGTGGGGAGGGGGGATTATCACTCACTCTATGCTTTTCAGAACATCTGTGAGGATGAATAAAAAGTGATGTTAAAATCATGTAAACGTCGGCTTTAATACACTCGTTCATACACTGCTAAAGACTTGGTACTCTCCTTTGACTCCTCTCTCGCGCTCTGATCCTCTCCTCCACCGGCACCTTCCACTTGTGGCTGAGAACTAGGTCTACTGTCAGTCCTGACACATTAACTGTATCTCGTCAGTAACATGAATTAACTTTTTCTCCCACATTAGAAGAACTAATGATTTCTGCACTCTGCACTGTTTCTCCTGTCCTCGAGATTCTCCTCCATTTTTAAAATAATCTGATTTGAGACATTTCTGCAACAAAAAAACAAAAAAACACGCTGGGATGTAAGGTTAATTTAGGGAAACTCTTCAAGAAGCTGGGTGTGCTTGGATGTAAAAGAGATAATATTCATCTTTTATGTTAAAAAAGGTGGCAACTGGTTTGGTTTTACTTGGCATTACATTATTCACTGCACTTACGGGACAAATTGCGTCCCGTATTGATTCAAATCCACCGAGTACCAAGAAAACAAGTACTACAATTTTGTCGGGAGGCGGAGGCGTCGCGTGTTGATTCACTAGAGGACGCTGCATTTTATTTTCAAATACGGGACGATCGGAGGTAGCAACCCTATTTACCTGTTTGAAGAGCCGCAAAATCATGTCGGCGCCTCCTTCCACAGGCAGAAAATCCAGCGCGTTCGTATTCTTCTTCTTTGGCAATTTCGGATGGCTCTGCCTGATGTACGGATTACGATACAGCGCCGCTATATTGCCGTAGTGGTGTACAGCCGCAATTGCAGTTACAAACGTCAAATCCACCGAGTACTGAGAAAACAATACTAGAATTTTGTCGGGAGGCGGAGGCGGCACGAAATTTGAGGGAAGCGGCCGACTCACAGTTCTCTGTGCAGGAAAAATCCTGTGATTTGTAGGCCGGGGCGTCTCTGTAGCACCACAACACTTATGGTGCTAACAGCGCACAACTATGTGACACATTTTTACCTTCATTAGGTCATCAAATTACAGCTACTGAGATTTGGAAATTGGTCATATTAATATTTTTATTATTTTTCAATTAACTGTGCAGATGTAATTCATATATAAAATAATGATATAGGAATGTGTGTTTTTGGTTGAGCCTGTGAATCAAACATCTGACTAATCAAGACACTTCATCACACCTCATAAATTCATTACAGCCCTCAACCAGACATTTCATCACACCTCTCTTTGACTCTTCTTTTGCCTGTCTCGGTAAGATCTGTTCTGAAAACTGATTCAGATGGAGAATGAAGAATAAAAGATAAACCAAAATGAAGTGTCCTATTAAGATATTATTTCACCATGAGCCTCCAGGACAGCTTCAGTCCATCTTGTCATAGACTCTCCAGGATTCTTTACAGGAGGGTGAACAGCATGCCCTAGTGGTGGTGGAGAGCGCTGTCCAACATGTCGCTCCAAAGTCTCACACAATTTGTCAACTGTCTACACAGAAATAACATTTACCTATTTAGTTGTAGACCGACCCTGACTGTCTTGTTTGCTCTGAGAGCTCCCAGATGAGCAGACATGTCTGAGTTGGAATCAAGAATCTGGACCTTTCCCCTGCAGTGTAAAAGATCATCACATCTGTACTTCACACACTTCCACTTCAAATACAGCAGAATAAAAAGCAACATTCTGCCTTTTTGCTCCCTATGGTGAAGCCACTCAGCTGATGAGAATGTTGGGAGGTGCTTATGGGAATCATGTTCACCCAGCATTGGGCCACTCTGATCAAATCACATCAAATCAAATCAAATTTATTTATAGAGCACATAAAAAAAACAGCAAACAGCTGACCAAAGTGCTACTGTCTCTATTTGACAAAGTTTAACATTGTTTGGGCCGAACATTAAACTGAAACTGATTGACTGTCTTTAATGTGTCTTGCTCAGTGAGCAGCAGTCATCTCTCTCAGGATGTGACCAGCTGAATGTAAGTGATTTAAAGTGAGAGTATTCTGCCATGGAGTCAATATGTATAGAATTGGAAAACTAAATATGCTTAATGAAGGTGGGTCATTCTGTCAGGTAGGAAATACTCACCAAAATACACTATCATCATGGACTATTCATTTATGTAATTATTTTTTCTGATAAGTAGGAACAGACATTTTAACTGTCACAGCATGAAAAACACAAAAACAAACGTTACATAGATTGAAATATATTGATAATAATTAGATTAATTTGTATTTCAATATATTGAATGTAAATGGGAGAAAATACATTTTCATACTTATGTTAAATTTATTGAATAAATATATATATAAATAGTTGATTTTGGCAACTTTGTAATATTTTTCACACATATTAGACATGGCTGAATAATATATTTTTATTGGGAATATTTAAATATATTAATTGCCTTTATATGTAAATAGGTTTAGTTCTCCATCCATGTAAATACACTAATTTGTAATATGAATTCATGGAATTTGTTAACATATTGGTTTTCTGTGGATCCAGTGGACATAATCAATGGCTTCAGGAGCTATAGGACACACCTACTGGAGGTTGAGAGAAAATAATGCAAATTGATTTTATTGATACTATATTGATATATTTATTGATGGAGTGTTTCTAGTACGTGGCACAGCTTTACTCAAATGAGACTCACTTATGTAAGTTTTATTACATTTCTTTAAAATTCTTTAATTAAATGAGTTATGGACAAGTGGCATTCAGTTACTTTCACTTTCTGTTTTCAGCAACTGTGTAACTATGAGCAACCACCAAAGCATCAGACTGACAGTCACCAGTTATATAGTTCCTGGACCTGATGAGACCTGATGAGACCTGATGAGACCTGATGAGACCTGATGAGACCGTCCCTAACGCAGCTGACCATCATTAAAGTATCTTATAACGTTGCCAGACGATTTAACAAAGTTTCACACATAAAGTCTATTCACAACAAAACGAGGAGAGAAGACACACAGGTCACGTTTTCCATGTCATTTATTTTCTGAATTGAATTTCAGATTAGCAAAATTGTGTAAAACCTCTATTCTTAAAGCAGCAAGCTAACAATTAATAACCATGGTACAGTCCGATCACTGCTGATTCAACAAACTAATCTGCTACATGTAAAAATTTGGTATTGAATGACATCACCAACAGGTATCACATGATTAATGAACAGTATTTGTTTTGATTCCTCTGTGAATTACAGGCTTATTTCAACCAGAATCAGAGCCTCAGAATGAGGGTTTGTTCTCCAGGTCGCCGTAACAACAGGTGTCAGTCAGCAGAACAACACAGGGGTGAAGAGCTGGGCCGCTCGGTCCACGCACACTCATCTGCTGAAGCTCCTGACGTCATCCTCGCTGCTCCACCAGGGGAAACAGCAGGTGAGGCACCTTGCTGTTTTTAGTATTGATTATTAAATGATTCTGGTTCCATCTCAGTTCAGCCAGTCCAGATCATTATCATCCTCATCATCACCAAACAGAGGGGCGGGGGGTGGACGCCCCTTCAAACTCTGGACACAAATAAGAGACAGGAAAACATGAATACTGTCCAACAGTGTTGTATGGATAGATTCAGTTAATACAGGACGGGGGGTGGGGATCAGGGGGTGTTACTGGATCAAATCTGAGAGCTATGATTGAACTCTACAGATCCTTCCTCACCATCTCATCCTCCTCGTCCTCCTCGCTGGGTGCTGTGGGGGGGTTGGCAGGAGTTGTGATCTGGAAAAATGTCTCCTTTCCATTTTTCTCACCAATTCCCCCAGTCAGACTGAGATAGCAGCAGACAGAGAGATAGTGTGTGTGTGTGTGTGTGTGTGTGTGTGATTGTGGTGTGGGGGGGGGGGGGGGGTGTACACAAAGAACAGTGAAGAAGAAAGATAAAAGGGAAACCGGGATGAAGCATGAGCAAGAAACAAGTTTAGATGGTTAGTTTGCACAAGTACATGTGTACATCAGTAGGAATGAGTTGGGGGGTGGGGGTCACACACATATAATTCAAGTTAAATGAAATCTAGTTAATAAAAATGAGGTTACATTGATTGTGTGACCATGTCAAGAGATACAGTTCATCATATGATCTAATGAAACAAATGTTTTCTTCATCCACACCAGCAAACCATTTACAAGAATTATGAGTTATAAGGTATGGTAGGTAAATGTTTTTTATGCTGTTGTATGTTGGGGAGACAGAAATGCTGCAAATGATAGAAACAGGATTAAAAAGAGTCAGGTTCTTCAGCTGGTGTGACCTGTCATGTCATTAGAAAAAATTTTGGAGGAAAGAGTTGGAACCAGACTTCAGTGTGATGTCATCACCTTCATCAGCTGTCTGCTGCTATGCTTTCTCTGATATCAGCTGTTGTTTCACATGTACTCTTTTTAATTGTGCATTTTTAAGGTTTCATATTTGTTCCTGTTTTATTGGTCCCATTTTCAGGAACATCACTTTGGGCTGCTTGTATTAAATAATATTAATAAGGTGGGCAACTATGATCACACAAATTCATTGTTTCAAGTTCACATCAAGTTCCTATGATGTGAAATTTATATGAAATTATAAGATAATGTAAATAATGTTCAGAGCTAAATCAAAGTCACTCCAGACTGAGTCTGGAGTTTGTAAGTTTATTGGACAAAAAGATAATAAGGGATTAAAAGGAGATGTGTTTCTATTGTTGGGGTTAAATTATGGAACAATAATAATATAAATTTAAAAATGTGTCATTTCCTTTTGGTTTTCAAAAGAATGGTTTACGGAGCTGTTTGAGGGTTACAGTGTGAACATTTTTCTTTTTTTTATGGGCAGCTTAAATTGATAAGAATGTAGGAAAACCTCAGCCTGGTCAGTCACGTCTCCATACACAGACTGTTGACTTGTCTATATTGTTTATATTTACTGTATAATGTGTGGTGACTGAATAACTTCAGAATAACTAACTTAGTGTCCTGGTGGGCTCCTGGATGACACTGATGTCCTCCTACAGCAGTGTCACTGTTGTTGTGTAAGTGTTGGTACCACTTTAAAATCAGACTCCCCTTGTAAAGGATTTACGAATGGTTTATAACTAGTTTATTCATTAGCTTGTTAACACTTTATAAAACATTTATAAGGGGGGTCTGATTGTAAAGTGGGACCGTTTGTCACACTGTGTGGGGATGAATAAAGTCATCTGATCTAAACTAGTTGAGATGCTGACTTCCCTCCTGTCAGACAGTGTGTGGCTGAGCATCACCTCCATCCCACCTGTTGTTTAACTTGAATCACTGGAGGCCAGACTTTGTTGAGACTCAATGTTGATCAGATTTGACTAGTTTACCAAGAAGGATCTGTTCAATAACTCACAGTGTGTGCTCTCCTGAGCTGTCCTGCAGTGCAGTTGGTGGTGGTGGTGGGTCGGCTGGGGGTCCAAAAGCTTTCTGAGAAGCAGTATTTATTTCTGCTTCATGCTCTACATTGTTTTTGCCTGACACAGGTTCCTGTTCATCCTCAGGTGGTGAACTCTCATCAAATCCATCATCTGGATCTGCAGACTTGTCTTCTGGTTCTGGGGTGGTTTCTCCTAGCTCCTGCTGAACTTCAAACTCTGTCCCCTGTGGTTTGTGTTCAGTGGATGAAGCTGGATGGAGATCGGTGGCCTGTGAAGCCTCTGTCTGGCTTTGTGTCTTTGACTCAGTTACTGTCTCAGTCTCTATCTCTGCTGCTACATCCTGATTCATCTGGGTCCCACTGATATGGTGAGAATCCAGCTCAGCCACATGTTCCTCCTCCTCCTCCTCCTCCTCCTGATCCTCCTTCTCTTCCTCTTTGACTTGTCTCTCTCCATTCACATGTACATTCTGATGAGGCTTCTCCTTTCTTCGTTTCACATCATCACTTTCTTCTTCCTCCTGTTCCTCGGCTTCCTCTTCTTTCTTATGGAGGGAGGACGACGTGTCGGAGCCACTGAGCAGCTGCAGAGTTACATTCTGGGGAAAAGAAATTGAAGATTGAATGATTGAAGAATTCAGTGAGTGTCACTCAACTCCATTACAGTGAATACAATGAAGATTCACTGATATGGATGCCATTGTTTCCCACAGATTTATTATTTGTGACCCCTCCCTGACCTGACTCCCGTCAGTATGGCCGCATGATATGCAAAAATCATCATCAAATCATATTGCAATTATTTTGTCATATATTACAATTTCAGTTGAAATGATTGTTTGTGCATTTAATTTTCACTGGAAAAAAATGTAAAAATAAGTTGTGACGTCTTTGTAGTACCACAACAGTTATGGTGCTAACAATGCACAACAATATTGTGACACATTTTACCTTCATCAAACTGCAGCTCCTGAGATTTGGATATTGCACTTGACCAAATGTGAAGAAGTTCCCTTGAAGCATTCTCAAAAATATCATGTTCACAATGTTTTGTGAGGTCACCATGACCTTGACCTTTGACCTTTGGCCACCAAAATCTAATCAGTTCATCCTTGAGTCCTAGTGAATGTTTGTGCCAAATTTGAAGAAGTACCATGTTAATATTGTGACAGGAAGCAGAAAAATAAATCAGTGTATGGGAAACACTCGATGCTAAAAGCAGTGGGGACTCACTGTAACAGTTCAATGTGAACTGGACACAGGATCTTTCTCCATTATTTAGTCCATTTAAAAAATATGTCATTAAGATTCAGATAGATTCATCTAGATAGATTTGATCCTACCTTAATGGTGGAGACAATCACCCCCAGCACAGCCTGTCCACTGTAGGATTCACTGACATCAAACTCCCCTCGCAGAGAATGAAATACTCCATTCATCACGCGCTTCACCTGCAACCACAAACAGCTGATTTCACTCTCATGGCTCAGTGAGAGTCATGTCACACACATGTCCAAAGACAATTCAAAAGTGAATTCCTCTTAAAAGAGACATCATCTGCTTCTTGAGCTACAGTGTCCACTAAGACCACTTCTGGTCTCGGACTTTATCCTACTGTATACTGGAGCTGCTGTATTTACTGTATGTTCTGAAACTCTGTAGGTCCTGTTCTCTGGTGTGCCGCCACAACAAATATCTTTTCATGAATGATGGAAAACTGGATTATTGTGCTGCACCGTCATTCCATTGTTTCATGGGTGTGTGTGTGTGTGTGTGTGTGTCCTCACCTCTGCTGCAGTGTCTCCTGAACTCTCCTGCTCTACCAGTTTCTTCTCCAGTTCAGATACTCTTCTTTCAAGCTTCTCCCTCACAGCTCCTCCTTGTCTCTCCAAGGCTGTGTACTGAGAGAGGATAACATACAGTGACTGTGTGTGTGGGTGTGTGTGTGTGTGTGTGGAGGGCGTGTTAAGGAAGTTTTCCTCAGGAATGAATAGCGGTTGTGTATGTAAACGCGATGCCTTACAAACTAGTATGTGACATCCATGACAAAGTGCATTCCCCATCAGCTGACTGATGACTGTCCTCCCTCTTACCTTCTCCTGCAGGGCCTGCAGCTCCTCAGTCTGACCGTGCTGCTGCAGAAACCTCTGCTCCTCTGAATCCCTCGACTGCTTCAGAGCTGTAAACTGTAGAGAGTGAGAGAGGCCAGCAATAATCACACGTCATATATTCACATATACACAATATAACCAGGGTCTTCAAATAGAAGTCAAAGCTTTGTCAACTTCTCTAAGCATAATTAAATGATATATTCTTTTCTCATTTAAAAGTAAGAGCTGTAATAAGAACATCACAGAGAGCCTCTGAAAAATGTGCAAGTCGCAATGACTGGCTGAGTAGCATCACATGACCAGTACTGTAAAGGCTAGAAAAGCTGCACCAATAAAAATAGAAATGCTTGATCAAAATTGAATAATTCTCATTATCTCATTATCATTTATAGCACATAGGTCCAGCTCTGGATGCAGATAGGACAGCATCTAGGTCCAGACTGCAATCCACGTATTATTGAACTCTGATATATAAGCAACAAATTAAAAATAAAACAGGAGAAACAGAAACATAGACACAAAATGCTGCATAAACCTGTGTATTACTGATTATCTGTTATTATTCAAATATATGAAAAACTGTGAGTGTATATACAAGATAGATAGATAGATGCAGCAGAGGCCCAGATGTCCTGACCTTTAATCCTTATTAGAATAATAATAATAATGTAATTGCTGACATCATCAGAGCTCCATTACTACAGTGACAGTTCCTCTTCAAGTCAACAACCAGTGAGACAAACTTTCAGACTAAAGTGGATGAACTTGTAAACTTGTGCGCTTTTGTGTGTGTGTATGTATGTGTGTGTGTGTGTGTGTGTGTGTGTGTGATACCTTCTCCTCCAGCTGGGTCATCTTGTCCTGCAGAGCATCTCTCTGCTCTGATAGGTCAATCAGCTCTCTCCTGTGCTGCTCTTTAGCAGAGGCCAACATCTGCTCACACTTCCTCTTCCAGTCGTCGTCCAGCTCCGCCTGCAGCTGAGACAACTGCAACCCACACAGGGTACGAGCCGTTAGTGGTCCTGCTTAGTGACATCTTAACAATGATGAACCAGTCTATTATTAACTGATGGAGAGGATATTTAAGGGAGTTCAGAGAGAAGACTAACTGCACATTATTGTTCCTATAGTATCTTTGCCAAACAGCCCTTTCATTGGATGCCACCTGTTCTGACACGGCGGTGTCAGTGCTGGTCCTGGCCTTGCGAAGCTGAGCTCGGAGGTTGTCCACCTCCTGCTGGCTGCTCTTGCGGAGGTCCTCCACCTCCTCGTCCCGACGCTGGCGCTCAGCCTGCCACTTCTTCTTTCTGTCCAATAGTGTCTTAAAAGGAAGAATTTACATGTTTTACAGGTTTTAAGATTTTTTTTGCTAATTTATTGAAATTTATTAAAAATCAAAAACTGAGATCTCCCATTTACAAAAACTATCCAGACCCGTAATTTGGCGCTTTGTAGAAGCCTCTTTGGCAGCAGTTAGAGCTGAGTCTTTGTCTCTAAGAGCTTTGCAAACCTGGATTTCAACAGTTTATCTCATTCTTCCTGGCAGATCATCTCAAGCTCCATCAGACTGGATTTGAAGTGTCTATTAACCAACATCAGGTTTCTCCACAGATGATCTGTGAGGTTTAAGTCTAGACTCTGGCTGCTCCACTGAAGGACAGTCAGAGACATGTCCTTAAGCCACTCCAGTCTTCTCTTGGTCGCCAGCAATGTGGGGAAAAATGGGCCGCTTGATGTTGACTGAATCTTTATGAACAGCACATCTGATTGGGGTTACATGGTCCCAAATAGGCTACCTATACTGCAAGGCATGTGCAGGACCATCTTCACCTCTCCCACCCCTTCAAGTGGATCTGTCCATCCAAGTAATGTCAGAGGTCAGGAGGGAAATAATCACAAAAAGACACAAAGAAGCCAATGAATCAAAAATCCTAATGTTAACGTTCATGGAGCTAGCACTAATGGAGCTAATAAAGGTAGGCCAGAGGGCATCATGCAGAGTCTGCCATTAATTATTTTGCATGACCGAAATCAAAGGAGTTGGATTTGTCCTTTAAATACAGTCCAAACCAGAACATTCAAAACATACTCGTCAGGAAAGTGTTTCAATGTAAAACCATGTGTGTTTAACTTTGACCATGTAAGAGAATCCTTTTACAAGTGGAATAAATAACTGGAGACACATTTATCAAAAATTGAGGAACACAAGAAAACTGTCCATGGTTCTCAATCAACCACAGCGCTGCCTCTTGATACTGTATATATTGTTTAGCCTGATACATTATAAAAAGCCTGATGTTGATGTTGACGAAAATCACAACTGAATTTTGTTCCCAGTCCGACTCTGGCCTCAAGTTCAGTTTTTGTCTCATCAGACCAGAGAATCTTTTTCCTCATACACTCACTCCAGGCCGTCCTGTACCTTCTACTCCCTCTACGATAAAGACCTGGTTGATGCTGCTCAGGTGGTCTTCCTTCCAGTGGGTTCTCCAGCTCTGTAGAAGACTTCTGAAGCTGTTAGAGAGACTGTTGGGTTCTTGTTCACCTCCCTGACTAAGGCCCTGCTTGTCTTCTCTGTGTGCCTGTCATTCAGGGTGTACATGAGAGTGTGCTGCGTGCACATTGAGGGTATGGGTATCACTACTGGGAACACTCAAAGCTTTAAAAAAGGTTTTATACCCTTGCTCTGATCTAAGGCATGCCAGAATTTTATCATGGAAGTCTACAGAGAGGTCATTGGGCTTCATGGCTTGGTTTTTGTTTTGACCTGCGGTGAGAATTGAGGGACCTTATATACACAGATGTGTGTCTGTCTAAACTATGTCCAATCAGTTCAGTTGCCACATGTGGACAATCAAGTTCAGAACACATCTCAAGAATAATCAACGCAAAGAGGAAGTACCTGACTACAGCAAAGGGTCTGAATACTTTTAGAAAAAAGAGATCTCAGTTTTTGTTTTTTTATAAATTTGTTAAAATGTCTAAAAACAAGTTCGTCATTATGGATTATTGATTGTAGATTGATTGGCAATCTTATGCATTTAAAATTAAAACTACAACAAAATAAATTAAAAGTGCAAAAAGTCATCCTCGTTTCCATGGTGACCTCTGTGTGCTGTGATATTAAGTAAGTCCTGACTCTGACACTGACAGAGGGACAGAAACGTCACATGTACTCACTCGTTCTAGACCCTCTCTGTCGGTCTTCAGGTCCTGCACTTCCTCCTCCATGTTGTTGACTCTCAGCTCCATCTCTTTGCGTCGTTGCTTCTCTGAGCGGTACTGGGCCTGAGCCCTCTCTGCCACCTCCTTCAGCTCTGAAACACATTCGTCAGAGCAGCGTTGTTTTATTATGTTAACTTGATGTCACCTGAGTCCATTAGCATGTAGCATCAGTTATTTTCCGCAGTTCTTTTACCTTTTACACTGCAGGGTCCTGGTCTTTGTACATAAAGTTACCTTCATTTGATTGTTGATAATGTGACACAACTTTATGTGAAGTTGCTATTAAAGCAACAGAGTTTCTCACAGTTTATTTACTTACTATTTAACTCATGACCAATTCAGAATTAATTTTAAGGTTTTATTGGGTTTAAAGATCTTGATGGTCTGAGTCCTACTTATTTATCCTATGAATCTTCTAGAACCCTCAGGTCTCCTGGACATGGCCTTTCATTTAAAAACCCAAATTCAGAAGGAAAAGCCATGGTGAGGTTTTTATTACTATGGTCCATGTCTGTGGATCAGCCTCCCTGAAGACCTGAGGGCAGCAGGAAGTTTTGATATTTTTAAAAGCAAACTCAACACCAACCTTTTACCTCTGGCTTTTAATTGAATTGAATTTATTTTTATTTATTCATCTTTCTCTTTATTTATATATTTTAAGTTTTACTTGTATGTCCTTTTATTCTATGATTATTTTCTGGATTGTTTTACTTTTAATACCCTACTTTTATTTCTGGTTATTTATTTTATTTCTACTTTTATTTCTGGTTTTACTCACTTCCAAACATCTCCTCTCTTTTAGCATTTTATTATTTTGTCTTAATTTTTATTTGATTTTTAATATCCCACCTTTTATTTCTGGTTTTACTCACTTTGTTCACTCTGTTTTAGTATATTATTATTTTATCTTTATCACTCTATTGTTATCTTTGCAACAAATAGTCTGAGTGATTGAAGACATTTCAAGGTGAACCTCACACCTGAACTCCTGCTTCAAATGACTCCTTTCTTTATAGGAACCAATAGAAATATGCTGACATGATCAACCAGTGGTATAAGTGTTGCAGTGGTGCATGGTTTTGACTTTCAAAATAAGAGTGCATTTTGTCCCACACACACACCATCCTGCTGCCCCAAATACTCACTACAGCCCCAAATAATGATTCATTTGCCTCTGAAAATAGTCCCCAACCAATGCATTAGTTCCTCCTGTTTGAGGAACATTTGATCCTTAGTGAACAGCTGTTCTAGTAAATTATTGAGACTTTTTAAAGTTGAGACTTGTTTTTAAAGATTTGCATTTTCACACGAAACCTCCTCTCTAACCACTTCTCCTCAACCTCAACGGAAAATGTCATGAGGTCAAGGAAAGATGTGAAGGAGAGTTCATAAGGACTTAAGAAAAGAATCTGACAGCACTTACACTAGGTTTTTCAAAACTAACCATTTATAACACTTGGACAATTAATAATTATTTTCCTAACCACAAAATCAAAACAAACAAGATTGATATGTCGAAATAAGAAGGAGAAGGAGATAAAGTTGAGCCATTAAAATAATAATTGAATAAAAATAAGGAGCTGAGCAAGAGATCAGAATAAATTATGTTCAGACATAAGTTTATAGTTTCCTGGTATAGGCTTTTGACATTTCTATACATTTGTTAAGTAGAGAAAATTCATTTTTAGTGCTTCACACAGTGAGGGGATTTAGTGAAACAACTGTTATGTATAGACTATAGTACGTTGTTATGATGATATCGTTGACTATAAATTCTATCTGCTTGTTCTTCATGACGACTCCTGACTGGATTTAAAGAGAATAAATCTATATTTATGGATTTGGGCTTCAGTCGATTGGACAAGGATTTCCATCAGTTCTGGATCATGTCACAAACATAAAACAGCTGCTCTGTTGTTTCTACGTTTACATGGGTATGCTGTAGTGAAACTACAATGTTGCTGCAGCAAGGAATTGTGGGACTGCATTTCTCCTTTCCTTTCCTAAAGGAAGGTCCAGTGTTTCTTATGCTGAAGGAGATAAGATAGGAAGCACTGAAGCTGCTTTCCTTATCATGTAGAGAAGTGTAGCAGCTCTGATCATGGCTGCTGCTCAGATACTTCAGCTCAGTTCACAAAAAAAGACTTTTCAACTGCAGCCCCCGACTCGTCTTTCAAATCTGTGTTTAAGATTGTTAACTAGATGAGAATTGACAGGATTGTTTTAGCTGGCTCACATGTTGTAAATGAGAATTAGTTAAATCACATATGAAGAAGTGTAACCAAATACACTCCCATTACCAGTTTAGTGTGTCAGTTTGTTTACTGAAGCCTTTTTAGAGGGAAGTAAAGTCAACTTCCTGCTGCTGCTGATTTTTATTGTGTTTGACTGACAGACGTTACAAATATTTTGTGCACCTCATACATATCAATGAGGGTAGACTTACTATTAGAATGCATCACAATCTAAAACCTGCAATCTACAATCAACACAAACCTTCCTGCTGTGTCTCCAGGGCAGCGATGCGTTGGCAGTGGCTCTCACCGTCCTGCAGCACTGAGCTCAGTTTACTCTGCAGCTCCACGGCCTTCTGCTGGTGAGCTGTGGCTTCCAGCTGCAGCTGGGACAGCCGGGCTGCAGATGAAGCCAGATCTTCTGTTAGACGAACCTGGTGGGAGGACAGAGGGAGGGGTGAGACGAGGAGATGTGCGGTGGCTGTCGACATGTAATCAAAGCCCAGGCCACAAACAGACACTGGAACAGAGCAGTGACAGCCTGGATGAGTGGCTACTGGTGATGGTGGTGTGAGCAGCGTGACCCTGTAGAAGAAAAATGAAGAGTGATGGCTGATGGAAAAGGAGACAGACAGGAAAATGAAGAGAGAAAAGTCAGTTCAAATGTCAATGAAGCGTGAAATAAAGAGGATTATTGCAGTGAGAACAGTTAGATCTGGGTCAAATAGTAGTTCCACATGATTCTTGTCATTTTGTGCAGCTTCTTTGGAAGCAGTTGGTAATCATATCAGCTGTTTAGTCCCAGTATCGCATCCAAAGTGAATTTGAAATCACTTGCAGAGACTCTCTAAACTGTGTCCTGTGACCTATGAACTGACTGTTTACTGTCTCAGGGATTTATGTGTTGTGCTCCCTCTAAATGGACATGATTGCAAAATGATTTTAGGCAGAAAGAGCAGGTTTAATCTGTCAGTGACTAATTTCACTGAGGAGCTCAAAACAGAATCTGCCTCAGTGAAGCTGCTGATTTGAAAATGAACTTACACAATTTCACTTTTTCATTGTTTTTCTTTATGTTGCAGATACTGTTTGACCCCAGTCTGGTAGCAGTACACAGAGGAAACAGGCTCACCTGGCCAGAGCCCAGGTCCCGAGGCAGTGCATGCTGGGAAGAGAGAGCAGTAAATGCTAGATTTTCCTCAGAGCAGCACAGACAACCAGGGAGAGACCAATTGGCAAAGAGTGGAGCATTTAGTATTAGCATCAGATTTGCAACAGGAAACAGACAGTGCATGCTTCAGAAAATACCAACCCAGTCTCCACTGACAGTGTATGTCTGAAGAGAGAAATTATCAGGTGAAATTCAGATTGTGCAGAATAGAAGCTACTTTTACTTACTAATCCAAATGTAAAGCTATATTATCTTTATTATTATTAATTAATATTAATATTAATATTATTTATAGATTTTTTTTAATCAATAAAAGAACCCTTAATCCCACAGTTTATTTAAAAGACTCAGAATCACCAAATTTGGAGATTTCAAATTCTAGGAATCAAGGAATCAACAAAATGTGAAAAGGAAATTTAAAATCTGTTATGGAAACATCTAAAATAACTAGGATTACAGCCTCTGCCAACCAGTCAAGCTGCCGGAAATACGGTCACGATCTCCCCGTCTGTTCCTAAGTGGCCAGGAGTCACAGTGAAGTTGACCTTTGACCTTTTGTCATCATTTCTAATCAATTATTTGTGTCATAATTATTGTATGAATTCTTGAGTTATGGCTGTGAGGTCACAGTGACCTTTGACCTCCAAAATCCAATCAGTTCATCCTGAACTCCAAGTCAACGTTTGTGCCAAATTTGAAGACATTCTCTTAAAGCAGTGGTTCCCAACCTGTGGGCCTGTGGGTAGTGTTCAGGAGAATGGGATGGACAGAGGGACAACCCCAGAACAGCTGTCCGGAAACTGAACTACATCCCAACCTTTTTTTTTCCTTTCACTCTGCCTGTTCCCTTCTGTGCTTTGTCTTGCTCTCTCTCTTCCCCTGACCACCTCTCACCCAGCCCACTGCTCTGAGCCTCCAGGCAGAGGGACGCAGGATGAACCAAAATGACAAATGGACAAAATAATAAAACAGCCTAACTAAATACTACATACCCATTCAGGCGCTGAAACCTAAAGTGAACAGCCCCCTTGAAGATCAGGAGCTGGCTGCGCAAAACCTCTTGCATTAAGATTTTCTTTAAAGTTTGAGTTAAGGTTTCCTTAAAATAAAAACAATTGCACAAAACACCCTTAAGTCTTCTTTAAAATGTTCACCTAAGTATTTAAGGTTTTCTCCTTATCTTAGCCCTATACTTAAGGAATCACTTAAAGTCAGTTTAACCATTGCACAAAAGACATTAATGACCAAACTAAGAAAAACTAGAATCACCTCCTAGTGGTTGTCTGCCTCCTCCACTCAGACTAGTTTCAGGTCCTGTTCATCCAGAGTCATAAAATATGAACCATTTGTGTGAAATTTTGTCATAATTGCGTGTGAAGCCTTGAGTAATGGCTAAAAATTGTTTTCTGATGTCACTGTGACTCCAAAATCTAAATCAGTTTGTCCTAGAGTACAAGTTTTTACCAAATTTGAAGAAATTCCCCCAAGGCGTTAGGGAGATATTGCATTCACATGGCCAAAACCGCGTTTAGTGAGGTCACCATGACCTTTGACCACCAAAATCTAATCTATTTGTCTTTCAGTCCAGGTGAATGTGTTTACCAAATTTGAAGAAATTCCCTGAAGGCATTAAGGAAATATTGCATTTAAAAGGCCAAAACCATGTTTTCTGAGGTCACCATGACCTTTGACCTTTGACCAACAAAATCAAATCAGTTCACCCTCAAGCCCAAGTGAATGTTTGTGCCAAATTTGAATAAGTTCCGTTAAGGCCTTATTGAGATATCCTGTACACGACAATGGGACAGATGGACGTACATACAAACGTACATACAGGAAAACCTTAAGTGTCAAACTTAAGAAAAATTAAGGTGTTTTGTGCAACAGGCCCCTGGGGACTATTCATGGCAGGACACAGTGCAGCCTGAGTATTGTTGCTGACCATGTTCAACGCTTTCATAAACAGTGAGTTCAGTAAACTTCAGTGCCCCCCCCCCAGTCTCCAGACCAGAATCCAGTAGAACCCCTCTGGGATGTGGTAGAACAGGAGATTGATGTGATGCATCATGTCAACATGGAGCAGAGTCTCAGAGGAAAGTTTCAACATCTGGTGGATCCATGAAGAACTGAGGAACTACCCAGTGTTAGTGAGCTGTTCCTAATAATAAAGTGATTGTAGATGTTTTGTATTGTGTGCTCACCTGCTGCACTGTGTTTCTCCAATAAAAATAATCCATCAGTCTCAAGTATTAGTTAGCTTTCTTTCAGCACTGAGTCCAAACACTCACCTTGTCCTGCTCAGCCTGCAGGAGTCTGGCCTGGTTGTGTTCACTGGATGATTTGAGGGAGTCGTTTCTCTGTTCCATCAGCAGGTTACTCTGCTCCACGTACCTGCACAAGCACAAGCACGACCACATTACATCCACCTCAAACTCATCTCTCTAAGATACATGAGTCAGTTCGCTCTGTTAGTGTTGTAGTGGCCTGTACAAAACAATCTAAGTGCATAAAGTACACAAAGATTACATTTTTATTGTTTTTATTAATTTTAACAATTTCACCAACTTCAATTTCACTCTGCAGGATACAAAAGATTTTTCAAAGGAAAATGTCTGAGTAAAGCTCCATGTTCTCCTCTTCTTCTGTGTGTTATTTAAAGTGTTGATCCATAAGAAGATATACTTGTGGTTTTAAGAACCAAAAACCATCTCAGTGTAGTTTTACATCTCCTCTCTCAGGCTTCTCTCTGGAGCTCTAGTAACAACAGGTCAGTGAGCCAATCAGAAGAGAGGAGGCTCTGAGCCTCTCTTCTGATTGGCTGACTGTTTTCTGAGTGATCCAATAAAAATATAAAACATAGTAAAATATAGTAAATATAGCATATTTCAGGTAAACACTCAAAGAAACCAAATTCTGCAAGGTTGGATGGTGGGTTCTGGTGGGTGGGGCTTGGTGACTGCTTTGTTGTGACATCACAAAGTTCCAGAAGTCCTGACGGCTGCTCTTAAGGTTCAGTTACTGAATACAGGCTGTGTGCATTTCTCTGTGGACTGAGGCTTTGATACTTTCACAGTATTAATATAGAACCTAGACCTGATCTATAATCACACTACACATGGACAGAGACCTTTAGAATATAAAACACTATAAAATACATTTTAGAATGTGATTCCTCTTTTATCTTCATAACCATTTTAACAAAAAGAAAATAATAACATGAATCTCCTGATTGTCTTTTCATACATCAAAACTTCACAGTATCATGAGAGAGAGATCACACAAATTTCAACAACAGTGGTAGAACATGATGTTCAAACATATCTGTGACTGTCTGACATTTTGTGACTCACCTCTGGTTCTGGTTGATGAGTTCCCCAATCTTACAGTTTTGCTCCTCAATGCGAGAACTTTTCTCAAACACTTCTTTCTTTAAACATTCGTTTTCCTAAAAAACAAAACAGGAGTTTTCAGAACACTGTTTCATTCCTCATGACAAGACCCACAACATTGGAAGATTTACTAAAGCAACCAAAATTTGTTTTATAAACTAGAAACACCTCCTCGTGGTTGTGCGCCTCCTCCACTCAGACTAGTTTCAGGTTACATCCTGTTTATCCAGTCATAGAAAATATGAACCATTTGTGTGAAATGTTGTATAAATGTATAAAGTCTTGAGTAATGGCTAAAAAGTGTTTTGTGAGGTCACACCAACCTTGACCTTTGACCCCCAAAATCTAATCAGTTCATTCTTGAGTCCAAGTAAATGTTTTTACCAAATGTGAAGGGATTCCCTTGAGGAGTTCTCGAGATATCAGGTTCACAAGGCCAAAATCATGTTTTGTGAGGTCACCGTGACCTTTGACTTTTGACCATCAAAATCTAATCAGTTTTACCTTGAGTTGTAGTGAATGTTTGTGCCAAATTTGAAGAAGTTCCATCCACGCATTACTGAGATATTGTGTCACGAGAATGGGACGGACAGACAACCTGAAAACATGAGGAGGTGGAGCAGCAGTATTCAGGTGTGTACCTGCACAATTCTCTGGATGTTGTGCACGATCATGGAGGTCTCCATCGACAGACCAGACACACCCATGGAAAGACTCCCCTGCCTTTGAAGGTCGTCGATCTGTTACAGTGAAATAGGACCACGTATTTGTCATTTGGTTTTAAGTGTTTCATGAACATTTTCTTGTTCATACTATTTCTACCTTTGAGGCCAGTTGATCCACTTTATCTGCTACTTTTCCGACAGCTAACCGGACTTCTGTGTTGTGCTGGCGTGCCTCAGTCATCAGGAAGGAAGTCAGGTCACCGGAGCCTGGAGAAAACAACACGATCACAACTATATCACAGGGCTGCAGTTACATCAAACACAATGCACTCTTAGAGCTGTGTAATATTATCAGCTACTGAGGCTGCTGTTGCTGAAGAGCTGCATCATCCCAATTTACTAACAGCTGTATAAAACCTCCTGGTTTGATCATAATGACTTCCTGGTATTGAAGTGAACGCTCTTACCCACATATGGGACAGTTTGTGCAGGGTAGACCTGGCCAACATGCTGCAGCTGAGATGGAGCCACAGAGCTCTGAGTATAGGTGTAAGGCTGTAAAACAGCACAGTGCACTGACGTTAAAGGTTTGTTTTACTGGTGTTTTGCACTTACTGATGATACGTTGATAAAGAATGTGGTGAAATCTCACCTGAAAGGCACGGCTGCTGTCTGGCAGCCCGGGCTGTGGGGCAACAGTGGTCATAACAGGAAGTAAGGCAGAAGGTGGTGCACTGTGAGGATGAGGATGTGCTGCAGAAACAGAATTTAACAGATCAGACTGAGGGAATTTACCCAGAAACAGACCTTGTCATCGTCATCAGAAACTGTGTTCTGTGATAAATATACAAAGAGGTGGAAGAAGCTCACCGTGTGCTGAAGCTGGAGCAGCAATGGAGATCTGCACTGGAGATGAAGCTACAGGCCGATCCTTCACTCTACTGCTACTGGTGTCCTGGAGATAGAAACATGGGGGCAGAAACTCAGTGATGACTCCACCACACCATGTGTGAGATCCAGCTGTTTTGTATCATGTTTCCATGTTGATGGATTTGCAAGAGACAGATTTTTTTAAATGGTAAAAAATCAGTGTCATAGAAGCTGAGATATCTTGGCATTCAGTCATGGAAGTATCGGTCAAGCTCCAAAAACACTGCATCATACACTTCCCATAATGCAAGTCAAATCAAATCAGCATCTTTCATTCAACTCTTTCTGTCCGTCAGATTGGGACACATGCCTCCTGTTCTTCCTCCAGAGCCACAGACGACATTATACATGAAGTGTAAACTGACTATGACCAGTAACAAAATTCAGCAGATACATTTCTACACAGAGATGTACTATTTATACTTCTGTGTTTTGGATAAGCAAAAATGAGAGACACGAAAATAAATTCTAAAAATGACAGAAAAGTTGTATTTTGCTCCATTAAACTTTATTTTTTCGCAGCATTTTTAAAAGTAAATAACAATAAAATACTAAAATGAAAGAAAGCCGAGTTCCATTTAACTGCTTCACTTTCAAGCAGGTCTTAATTTCAGCGGATTTGAAACTGAAATTGATCATGTTGTGTTCAGTTCTTCTAGGAAATGTTCTGTTGGTACAGATCTAAATCTAAGCCATTTCTTGGATATTGATTTTCCTTTTTCAGAGCAAATTTCTAAAGTGATGCAGGTGGTGGGCTCAGCTGATCTCTGCCATGCTGAATAATTAAATACTGTCATTTTCTTTTAGCTTTGAGCTCTTGTCCAAATGGAAACTTTAATGTTTCTCGTCTCACATTTTTTTAGACACGTATGAGACTTACAGACAGACATGGGTTTGTAACTTCTGCCTCTAGGGGTCTCGATCAAAATAATAACAAGAGACGCCATTTGGTGACATCATGAAATGGCCTGGGATCATGGGAGTTGTTGTCATCACCACCATTACTGTAAACTCCTCCCAGTTTAGATTCCTTCAGTGTCAGTGGTTCAGGAAATCAAACAGACCCAGTGATTCTAACACTGAATAAAGCTAACCTAAATGCTAAATGTTGACCTTTGTTTTGATTGTTTCTCTGATAACTTCAGATCCAGACGTCCGACGACTAAAATCCTTCATCTGGTTCAAATATAGAGCTGAAAACCACCAAGGTGTCAAAAGTGTATGTGGCTTAAAACTAGATAAAAGTCAATGATGAGCTTCTGTCAGACAAACACACTGACACATGATCATAGAGGATATGATGTCACTGACAGGCGACCAATGAAACGCTACCATGATTAAAATCACAGATTTCTCTGGTTTGAGAATTGATGGAAACATTTGTGAAAATGTAAGAACTCAACTCAAGAACACATAGAACAAAGGTCTAGATATTTTAGACATTTTAATGACGAAAAGTTACAGATTATAACTTCCTTTAAAGAATCTATTGTCAAAAAATCCCATGAGAAGACTCAAACCAACGATGTGTCAGTTCAACACTGTTTGACCCCGTCTGTGGCTCTCAGCCAAAAACCTACTGAAGAAATAACTCTTAGCTGTGGCTCACAAATGTGAATTTTCATTTTAGAAAAGGTGAAATAATTCCCTAAAACTCAAATGTTACACAAAAAGGACGATGTAGAGCATTTGTTGAAACAATTTATATAATACATAACATTTTCTGCACATGAGTATTTCTGGCAACAGAATGGCACGTGCGTGTGTGTGTGTGTGTGTGTGTGTGTGTGTGTAAACTACAGTGTGTGTGTTCATGGTGATGAAGGAGCGTGTCGCACAGTGAGGCTCACTGAGGTGTTTTTAATAGCTTTTAGAAACAAGGACACGGAGGAATAAGATGTTTAGATCTTCTCATGGTATTTGTTGACAATAACAACATCTCCTGACTTTTCCTTTAACATCTATACAGTTTGTGTCCCACCTCAAGCTCAGAGTCGCTGGATTCAGGCTGGCTCGCCACTCCTGCCAGAAAGGGCAACATGGGCTGACCCATCTTCGCCATGCGGGAAATCAGCTTGGCTTTAGTGGCGTCTGGATTCTGGAGTTGGAAAAGAACATGACATAATGCAATAACAGTTCATTTAAACAAAGCCTCACTAAGAAGAAGTGAACTTACTGCCAGCTGTTCACTGAGGGAGTTTGACTTTGCACGAAGTGGAGGCTCCCTGAAGAAGAGCAAAGAGACAAATCAGTGACAGAGGAGTTGAGGATGATGCTGTGAACTGTTTCCTGAGGCTTAACTCTTACCCTGGTCTGCCTGGGTCTGGGGCAGCCTTCTGGAGTGTGGGCTCTGGGGTCAGATTCTCCACACTGGGGACTGAGGGAGGAGCAGGAGACGGGGCAGCAGAGTCTCTGGAGCTGACACTGGCCCGATCAGAGCCACTGTCCTTTGAAAACTTCACCTGAAGCACAGAACCAGCAGAATGAGCTCTAGTTCACACCTCACCAACATTACAGGGGGGTAGAAGAAAAGAGGTCATGTCAGGAGCTGCAGCATCTTAAACAAAGACGTAACTGAAGTATTCATGTGACATTAGAGTGATCAGGTGTTAGAGAAAGTGAACTACAGGAGCAAATGAGGGAGGGGGGAGAGAGGGAGGGAAGGGGGAGGGAGGGCATTACCCGCCGAAGCTCTGCTTCAAAGATAAGAGTGCTGTTAGCCGGGACACAGTTGGCGACTCCCTTGGATCCGTAAGCGAGGCTGGGTGGGACGATGATGAGACGGCGGCCAGCCTTCTTCATCCCCAGCATCCCTTCCTCCCAGCCCTGCTCACACAGAGGAGGACAGCAGAGTGTCAACGAGGTGATAACATGATAATAATATGATGAAGATTAACAGGATGCAGTCAGTTAGTTCATTTAAAAAACAGTGTTTCCCTGTTATTAATTATTAGCAAACACAATTTCCTTCAACGGGGAGAAGTAACTGAATGAAATATTTCCTTCGTTTGAATTTTTACTCTCTTTTCAACACAGTTTGCTTCTATACTTTACTTCCAGAGGCTGTGGTTATTGTGAGAGGAGGTAACGTCTGTCATAACTTCATTGTCACCTGGTAAAATCTGACACATCCTGCAAAAACCTTCAGACAAACTGCTTTTTTGAGGATACAAGAGAGAAAATACAGCATTCCACATTGAACCGAACAAGTCACCTCATGTTTGAGAAAAAAAGTTTTTTTTAGGGTTTTTTTCTTTTCATTTCTAGAAATATAAATATATACAAATAAAAAGCTGCCGAAACATTAGGAATAATATCCAGACGCCTTGTTTAAACCAGTGGACACATAGCTGTGCAATAAAGTTACACTATTATTTATGCTAGGAAAGTGAGTCCACTGTAAGAATAATGACTCAATTCTCCAGTGATCTGATTGGTTCCTGTGAAGTTAACCTGCCCCAGAGCAGGTTAACTGGACAGCACAGGTTACCATGGTGATCAATCCAGTTAAAAGTGAGCCAGCTTCAGAAAAACCTCAAAGTTAAGCTCAAAGATAGATGATGACAGATCGATGTAATGTTGATATCATTATATAACATCAGAATACGATGTTAATTCACAGTATTTAGAAATGGAAGAAAAGAAGAATGGGATAAAAATCATGTCGTGATGGGGAACTGTGAACTTTTTGGCAGTACAGTGAAATGTTTTGATACACAAACATTAAGGCATTAAGAAAAAACACCTGAGTACCGCTAGATAAAAAGATGCAAATAAACTGAAATGAAAATAGAAGAAAATGAATTAGGCAAAAAAACTGTTGATTTAAAACTGCGTTTTTGTGGAGATTACTTTTCTTTTCTTATGTCTTGACTCACTTTTATCACTTTTCCAGCTCCGATTTTCAGTCGCAGCAACTTGTCTTTGTTCTGGTTGGAGTCAAACATCTGAAATGATATTTGAGATTCAATGAGTCACATGTCTGGAAACTTCACAGGAACTGGAGACAACATGTAGCCTGGCATCACCAGACCAATGTGCATGTACAGACTAGATCAAGTGGTGATCAATCCTGAAATATCAATACTTCTGATCCCAAATGTTTCTGCTCTTGGATCAATTCTTATATTGACAGCCTGATCTCTGAACTGTGGGGTAAATGAGTATTTTATCAATAGCTGAGTCACAGTAGAAAATAACTACACTATCACCAGGATCTACTCTACATACTGTAAAACCTGGTTGATAGGAAGTACTTCTCCTTTCGCCTGTCATAATAATATGTGAACAGAGCATTGACAGTGATGATGGCTGTCTCTAAATGTGTGTGATGTGTGTGTGAGGACTGTGAGGTTCTGCGGCAACACAAACCTCGTTAAGCATCTGAGATTTAGTCACAATAAAGAATATGTTGAGACCACGTAACCACGTAACGCTGTTCCATTCAAATTGATATAAATAAATTTGCTAGCTCATTAAATAAATATGGTTATGAAGTAAGTAATGAAATAATTAAAACAATGCTACAATAAATAACTGGATAAAGATCAGGGGTGGAGTGAAATGTGTCTCCCTGGAATCAGATCACAATAAAATATTTCAGTTGTTTTATTATTGTCAAAGCTCAGGAGGCTGAAATGGCTGATTTATTGCCAATGTATTAAATGATTTACACTACAGGCAACAAACCTAGACTGTGTGTTGACTGACAGCTGACCAGTAATATTACAGTAATATTATTGCTTTCCCTGGTAACAAGTAGTGTAAGGCATTATAATTTCAAAAACAGTAATAATATTGCAGTTACTAATCCTATTAGCACTGTGTTACCAGAATGCAAATTGTTTTGTTTGTTTTTTGGAACACAAACAGGAAGCTATGATATCACCCTAAACGTGTAATGTGAAACCATTAAATACTCCCTGCTGCTCTTATGAGAGAATACTTTCATTAAAAAATTATGAGACTTGATTTTTTTTTTTTACAGAGGTGTTTGTGCTCATGCAGTTTGATTGTTGACTCCTCTGTGAGGTCAGTTGTTCCAAAAAAGTGGATTAATTTGCAGAGGTTGCTGCCTAAACAGGCTGAAGGCCTATGTCACGTTTTCAGGAGGGGGGTATAGCGAGAGTAATATAGTAATATAACCAGTAATGTAACCATTAACTTTTGACATGAAGTAATAAGTATTATTATTACTTTTAAAACAAGTAACAAGTAAAAAGTAAGTTATTACTCTTCCTGAGTAACTTGACTCATTGGCATTTATCTATTTCATTATGTATTTCACTTTTTATATTTCATTTTGAACAAAGCCAAATTCAATATAAGAATTCTCTGTAGACCCCAAGTGACCCCTGTGACCTGTGGATGGAGACACCGTCGTCTTGTTTCTTCACTCAGTTTTCAGGCTTTTCCTTTAATTCGTCACCTGTGGAGTTTTCTCCTCTTAGTGTATTTGTTACAAACTATCAGGATCATATTGGTCTTGGTGATTCCATCCTGGTTTTACTTGGCATCAGAAGGAAGCTCTGGGGCATTACCAACGGTCACTAACAAACCAATCAGAGCAACGAAACATGTGATGTAGCACAGAGCGACTGAAACCCTGTCTGAATGGGAGGGGACTGAGCCAGAGCGAATAAACCTGAGCTGCTGATTGGTCTGGGTTCCAGGCTACAAACAATGATCAGATTGATGAAATGATGGTGAAAGTGTGTGACCTGGCCGATTGTGTGGTTCTGCAGGAGCCAGCCTGTGTACAACACCTCCAGACAGTCTCCATTCTCCACCCCCTGCCCCTCCCCGAGACTCAGGTCCTGAACCACCACAGCATCTAAGGAGGCCGTGCTGTTTGCTTTCGCCAAACACACCTGTTGCACACAGAGGGAAACAAGTCATCATCTGATGAGCAACAGAACTCATCGTGTTTGATGAAACCTTGAACTCGATGTAGGTCAGACTGATAAAAGAGGTTTTAGAAGATGCACAAACCTCCTTGCAGAAGTCTGATGAAGCTCTCTCCGATTCAAACATCAGGGACCAGTTCTGCCTCTGGTCGTCGTAAAAAGTGCAGTAGTTGTTTGGTTGTACCTGAGACAGAGACAGAACATGTGGTCAGGAACACTTGAGCTCATTGTGACTCATGAATTTTTCCCTAGGGGATAAATAAAGTATCTGTCTATATATCTATCTATCTATCATTAATGTAGAGACTTGCTGCAAACTCTACAGGTTATTCTCTCTGGAGGGAATCAAGACCTTGGATATTGTTCACAGGACAACACAAGAACAGAAGGTATTGAGAGTCTAGATTGTGACCCAGACTTTGTAAATGTTTCTGTTTGTTTTTCAGAAAGCACTTATAAATTTGACCACAAATAGTCACGTTTAATGAAGATTATACATTGACATGATACTGAGAGACTTGAAGTAACTTAAAGCAAAGCTCCACAATGTTTGTGACAAAGATGTTTGGGAAGAAGGTTTTCAGGCCTCTCACTCCAAAAGAAATCACATAGACAACACAGAACACAGTATGAACACAGCTGATGCCAGTACAGCTGGAACTTAGACTTATAGTTTTCTGCATGGTCATGATATGTGATCTGATCTTCATCTAAGTCACAAGTACTAACAGCCTTTTTTTTTTTTTTTTTTAAAGAAAGTAGAATTACCTCCCTGTTACATCCCTATTTATCCAGAGTCATATAAAATATGAACCATTTTTTTGTGAAATTTTGTCATAATTGCTGTGTGAAGTCTTGAGTTATGGCTAGTATAGTGTTTTGTGAGGTCACACTGACCTTTGGCCACCAAATTCGAATCAGTTTGTCCTTTAGTCTAGGTGAACGTTTGTGCCAAATTTGAAGAAATTCCCTCAAGGTGTTATGGAGATGTTGCATTCTCATGACCTTGACCTTTGACCTTTGACCATCAAAATCAAATCACTTCATCCTTGAGTCTTAGTGAACGTTTGAACCACATTTGAAGAAGTTCCCTCAAGGCATTACTGAGATATCATGTTCACAAGAATGGGACATACAGACGGACAACCTGAAAACAATATGGCTGCTGCTCTGACTGTCACCGGCACAGAGGGATAAAAATAGAGCATGTGACAAAGCTCTCCTCAGGTATGAAGCATGTTCAGACCTAGAAATGAGTTAAATTGGGTCTCCATACATTGTTAAAGGTCTGAATATATAATATATTTGCCTACATGTATTCAACCGTGTGCACGTCTCTACTCACCGTGAAAACAAAGCCCGTATGAATCTTGGCAGCGGTCACTTGTTTCTGTTGGCTCAAGTACAGAAGCAGTTTGTACTGCAGAGAAGAAGAGGTGCATTATTCATCAAAATCAAAAGTCACACGAGTAATCTCAAACAAGTGACCAGCTAGCAAAGCTCTAACCTCTTTTGTTGTGTGGTTGCCCAGCGCGGCTGCTCCCAGCTTCCCCTGCTTCACATACTGGCCGTTAATACTGTGCGACACACAAATGGCAGAGAAGCTTTTCGTTTGACTTGACTATAAGATGATTTGGAGGATTGTGACTTGATCTATAGAAATCAGCATCAGGTTCTTAAGCTTTGTAGAGAAGTGGGGAGTGAATACTTGCAGCCCATAGATTTAAGTACATTTAGAAAACATGAATAAAGCTCAAAGACTTCAATTGATATTATAAAAAGGCTTTAAAATATGAAAAACAGGGGGCGTCGAGTGGCGTAGTGGTCTAAGCAGGTGCCCCATGTGTCGAGGCTACAGTCCTCCCTGCAGTCGGCCCCGGTTCGAGTCCCGCATCGGACGGCCTTTGCTGCATGTCATTCCCCCACTCTCTGCCTCCCCATTTCCTGTCTCTCTACTGTACTATCAAATAAAGGCATAAAAAAGCCCAAAAAATATACTTAAAAAAAAAAATGAAAACAGGCTCCTTACTATCTGAAGGCTTGGACTGCTGTGGCATATAACACTGCTGGAGCTCCAGGTGGTGGAGCTTGTTTCTGGGTGGGCGGCGCTGTGAAGAGACAGAAGACACATTCAGCTCACGTCCAAGTCGTAGCTAAAATCTTAACTCACTTCTGTCTCTGTTGTGAGTGTCTCACCTGGGGTGGAGCTCTTCCTGGGCTGTTTGGGGGCTGTATACTGAAATGACTCATTCCCCTGACTGGCTTCCTGGTCTAGTCCAAACAGGGAGGCCAGCTTGGCCCTGGAAGGAGAACAAGTGTAAAGATCATCTAGATACGTTTATGTTGCCCATGAAATTTATGATCCGCTGATCAACTGAAGTTTGTTCCACTTTATGGTGATGCTCAGAGTCAAACTGTCCTGGCATCAGATATAAGATATAGCCTCTGACACAGCACTGACTCCATGGTCAGGCTCCAGGTAATGCTGCTCGTACAGGCCTGTCATCTTCATGTGGGGGTTTTCAAAAGTTACTGTAGCTGCCTGCAACACATCAACAGCTCCTACCATCATTTCATCTGCAATTATGTTCATTCAATCTGCACAAATGTGCTAAAAAGTACAAACAACAGTAGGACTTCATCTACCAATTATTTTCATTATTCATTTATTTATTTTGATTAACCAATGAATCATTTAGTCTTTAATGCGTTAGGAAAATGATTCGAAATTACCATCAATTTTCCAGAACCAAAAACGATGTGTTCAAATAAAAAAAAAGTGCAAAACTTACAACATGGTCTCATGGTCGTCCTCACTATCATGGAGCTACATGATACACTCACATACACTGAAGAAAACATGCAGCGTGTGAAGCTCTAAAAACAACTACTTAATAGACCATGCATAATGGTCTATATAAGAGAGAAGCAGCAAATCTTCATGTCTGACAACAACACGCTCAGACCACTAGACCATTACAAGCTGTAACATCATCACAACTTCTACCTCAATCATAGGCACCAATCAGCATTTCCAACAGCTGGGATCAAACCTGCTGAGTCTAGACCAACATTTCTGGAAAGCCTCAGTGGCTGCCTGCTACTGACCCCTGGAACTCCTTCCACTGGTAATCACTGGTATCTCCCAGGATGGACATGTTGAACGCCTTGAGGCCCTCATCTCCGATGGTCAGGAACTGGGATGAGGAGGGGCTACCTGTTTGCATGTGTGAGTCAAAATCCTTCTGGTGTACGTTCCAACACTTCTGTCCTGGCCCCCCCCTGATCTCTGGTCACCCCTGTGAAGTCACACCACCGTGATAGATTCAACGGCATAGCAGAAGAAAACTGAGGAGCTCCGACTTAGCGTTCTCCACTGAGCAGAGATGGGCTGTGGCAGAAGCCTTCACCTTACTCCTCTAACAAGCAGCATGTGAGAGGAATTAGCTGCCAGAACACTCCTCCCTCCCTCAAGCCCCAGCCCTGCACTGACTGCTCAGTCCACCCGCTCATACAATGCTCCTGCAGAGCACAGCTCACAGCGCCGTCAGTCTGAAAATGTGGCAAAGCTGCAATTGAACACTGCTCAACTAAGAGGCAATAAGTATAGTAAGTGAATCTGTCTCATAAAAAAAGGGTCAACATTTGAAATCCTGCAACATGTAACAGCAAAATGCCCATAAACCTAGAAAAAACAACATACACATGTAGAAACTTTGAAAATGTTGACCTAGTTCTGAGGGATCTGGTTTATCAGGCAGTCGTTTACCAAAGCTGGTAAATTATCACATTAAGTCAGTGTCTGCATCATGAAGCTACATTGGAGTATTAGGGCCACATTGAGGAAATGTGGTAATATTTCGAGAATTAAAAATGTAAAATTTCTGGAGAAAAAAACATAAATTTTTAGGAATATTATATCAACAAATCAAACAAGTGAAAGGACAGTCAGTGGCAGCCTGAGCTGCTTCTGGCATCTGCTGTTTGTCTAACAATAGAATAGATTCAGTTTCTTCACAATCTTTTCAATGTCCTGGTGCTGATGATGATGATTATAATGATAATGATGCTGATGCTGATGCTGATGAGCCAAAAGATGAAGTCCTCCTTGTTAGTGAAACCTCTGCTGCAGTATAACTTCACAGGATGCTCCACATTCCTCATTTTAAAGTCTCTGATATTTCCCCTCTAAAACAACACGGAACCTAAAATTATGACTTTATTCTCGTAATATTACATCTTTATTCTTGTAAAATTACGAATTGATTTTTGTAAAATTACGAATTGATTCTTGTAAAATTGACTTCATTCTCATATTATGACTTTTTACTTGTAAAATTACGACTTTATTCTTATATTATAAATTTATTATTAAAATTCCAGTTAGCTCAGTGGCTAAAGTAGCAATGTGAAATCTATTTTTTTTTATCGCGACTTGAACATATCACAGAGTCTGAAGAGCTTCATTCATGAAAACTACTGAGCAGAGAACAGATTGGGTGGATTTGTGAAATCATGTGACAACTCATCAGACCAGCGAATGGACCAGGGCAGAGATGCAGTGGATACAGGATCAGTGGAAACGTATCTGATATAACATCCTAAAAAAAGCTCCATGAACTGCTCCACTTCCTGGTTTGTTACACGACAATACTCTGTAGCCGCTAACTTCCATATAATGATAACAGTCATGTGATCAGACAACTCTGACGTCTCCTTTCAAACATCTAGCAGCATAATCAGGGTTAACTTTAAACTGAGCAGGACCTCTGTCAGTATCAGTCATCACACATGTCCTTCAGAGAGGAAAACTTTTGTATAAAATCACCCTTCACGGTGCTTCTCTTGGTATTTTGGTGAAAAATAATTATAGACACAAAAAATATTTTATAACCACTTATTGGTATATTTGCTTCATACCGAAAAATGTAAGATGAATAAGAGAACAACTTAAATCGCCCAGGTTTTCAGTCATCTTCCAAAAGGGATCACATACAAACAGAAGTCACGATCATTTGCCAGATTTAAATTTAAAATTAAATCCGGCCCATAGACGAGTACAGCTAACCCCGGCTAAGTGGTGTAAGCTAGTTAGCTCGCAGGCTAATGGAGTTAGCTCGGTGGACAAAAACAAACTCACCCTCCTGACGGAGACAGGAAGTCTCCGTCCTCGTCCTCTCCGCCGAACATGTTCTGAGTCTGAAGCCTTTTTCCTCTTAAATAAAACAAGTACAGAGCAGAGTTAGTTATTTTTACATGACTAGTTTCTTGAACTGTGACTTCCCCTTCCTGTTTGTGGTGGAGTCAGCTGACTTTCCACCTGATTCAGATTTAGTTACCTCTCGCCACCACTGGATAGCGCCAAAGACTGTGGCAGGGTTATAATTCAGACCCACAACAGTGCAGCAGGTCTTTCAAAATGAGTACTAAACTTGGCACAAATCCTCTTTGGGTATAACTCTTTGGATAAAACACAGTAGCCACTCAAAAATGCTAGACGGCCGCCATTTCTGGTAAGGAAATTTCATTTTTTGCAATAAGTTCACCTACAATTTTCCCATATAAATGATGTAGGTGTCAAATCATACATTTTAACAACGTAGAAGGTGAAATTTAGTACACTGTAAAAACTTAAACTTGCATATAAGTTCAGCAAAAATATCAGCAAACTCACAAAAGTTTCCTAAAAATGCATTTAAAAATAAAGATTTTTTTTAAACCAAAACCACTGCTAGCAAGATAGTAAGCTTATATCAGCTAACTTTGACAAAGTTGCACTGAGGTAAGTTTTCATGTTGATGTCCAAAGTGCCTTTGAAATGTCAAAGAGTGTAATTCAACTGAGAGGATTTCTTTGCTAACTTGTGAACCAGTTCACTAACTAGCCTAGCGCGCTAGGCTATTAATGCTGACTTGAGGCTTGACTAAAGCAGGTAGACTGATGACTTTTACAGAATTTCTGATTCATCATTCATAATAAATTGTTTGCAATTACATTATGTTTTATTCATTTTCATATATTAGATATTACAAATAATGCTCTAAAGAAATTAAAGAATTGTGAGTTTGATGTAATCAGGGTCAAAACATAAGATTAAATTGCAAAATCATTTAAATCTGTCCCGTGGGTAAAATTTTGGTAGCCATCTTGGAAAATGGCGACCATATTTTTCAAGTGGCTAATGCGATTTTTCAAATGAATGGCCCCAGAGGAATAAACAAAAACAACTGCTTTTAACAGGGTAGGATTCAATCCTGTGGAAAAAACATCACAAGGTCATGATGAGAGTGCTGCTCAGTCATCAAGTGTGCACAGTGACTGTCAGAGGCTACTGCCCTTTAGCCAACCCTGACCTTTGACCTCACTGAAGGAAAGAATTTCGCAACAGCCCATAGAATCAAAATCAGTTTTGTATTCCTGTTAAGACCAAGGAAGCTCAATTCACAATTTTACATCAAATCTGTACGTATATGATTCCTCTCTAAATGTTAAAACATCAGTAAATTTATTCAGTCAGAGTAAAATGATAATCATGTTTTAGTTACATTTGCCTTGATTTATTTTTAATATTTATTAGATTTTTATTCACTCTTAAGCTTTTTGCTATTTCTATTTTATACATACGTTTTAATATAATGTTAAATATGTCATAAGAACCCTGGCTGACTTGTTATATGTCAACATGTTAAGGTTTAATGTTTCTTGTCGTGTATACTTACACGCAAGTAATGCAGATAATAAAACAGAAAGATAATAAAATAGAAAGAAGTAATTAGAAAAGAAAGTTCTTGGATATATAATGAAATGATGAAGGTAGATTTGTCACAGCCCCTTCTGTGATTGTTAGACTTCCCAGTATTTCCTGTGTTTTTCCCTGTCTGTCTTCCCCTGTGTCGCCTCCCCTTTTTTCTGTCCGTGCTTCTCAACAGGGGCGTGGCACAGCACTGGCTACCTGGCTCGCCTGTTTTCCATCTATCATCAAGCTCTGTATAAAAACCCCGGCTCTTCATTAACTCATTGCCAGATTGTGCCGCTATCCATGTGGTAACACTCCAGACTACTACTACAGCTCAGCTAAAGGTTGTGACTAATTACTTCTGTTGTCTTGGATTATCCCTCACCAGTGTCTCTCTCCATTTCCAGTTACTGCTGCAACCCGGATTCTTCAACCCCCAGCATCCCCCCGGTACTCTCTCCCTCTCTGATCTCAATTAAATAACTTTTGTGTACACACTACTTGTTGTTCAGTGCCTGAATCTGCTCTGTGGTTCGAACTACGTTTTTAGTCAGATCATAACAAGATCCCAAGTGTAAAATAAGCCTATTTTTGAAATTCCTCACGTTATTGTCAAAAACTCACAATGGAACTCATTAAAACTGATAATCACATCATAAATTTCACCAATTACAAAATATTCAATACCTCCTATGAGATATGGACTAGAATCAGTTGACGTGTTCCCACCAACCTGTTATCAAAGATTTTCCTCTCAAGTTAAATATAGATCTCATTACATTCACAGCCACAATTCCTGCAATCAGTGGTAATTCAATCTGAGGCCCATGTCCTCAGTCTTTGCCAAGTTTATTAGAACGGCTCCGTTAGTTGGCTGAAATCCAAATAGCGTCTTGATCTGTCATAACATTGTGTCAGTCCTGGTGACACATTGATCTAACACAGTCTGATCTGACATTTAAACTTTGGTGTTTGAATGAACTCCACAACTGCTGCACAGATTGTTAATGTGCCCTCATCCTCCTCAGTGTTGCTGTATTTTATCTATTTCATTCAAATATTTTCTCCTTCATCATTCATCATCATAATTGCTCTTGGCTGCTTTTGACCGCACTGTCATTTGTTAATTTGAGTTGTAATTAAACACTGTACAAACAACAGTTCATTGTTTTCTCAAAGCCTCACGGTTTATATGTAGCACTCTTTATGTTTCAGCCACACCACTGTGGTCCTGACTGACACATCACGATTATATGGACTTCCATGAAACTTGGTCCATGGGGTTCACTAGAGTCCCCAAATCATCCAAACATCCCCAAGTGTCTGTCATGTTGCAGTTATTAACCATAGCTCCCCACCAGTCAACACATACACACAGGACGATTAAATATAATCCATCTGCTTTACTCTCTGTCAGTATTTACACATGATCATTTTACAGCAATATTACTTTAGATTTATGGCATTTTAATCATTGTTTACCTATCAAAATTAATACAAAAATAAAATTGCATCTGTTTCTTCCCACATCGCAGCTGGCATCAGTCCATTCCTTTTGCTGTGCGTTAGGAAGAGGTACGTGATTTCCTGTTCCGCTTTGCTCGACGTGTGGACGGAAATCGGATGAACTCAAAATGTTTGCTTTGGTCTGTGTTGGGGAAGGGAGGCGGGCCCGTGTGGAGCCTCTTGATGAAATGGACCTCTCTCTGGTTCTCCCGTGTCCTGGAGGCCTTGATGGGCCTCCCTTTCCTGGTGAAAGCCACATACCAGCCCTCATACTTGGCATTCTGGAACGCTGTGTAATTGTTCTCCAGGACTATCTCTGTGAAGATACAATCCCTGCTCCGGCCGTTGGGCTGTGTGAGGAGACACAACAGGTATCATCATATCAAACAAAAATGATCACTGGATTTCAAGGATAAACAGCTATATTACCAACATCTGATCTACAGTGAGAAAATGGTCAATTCACACATTTTTCTCTTTAAAATCAAAGCCACCTTGAATTGAGACTATGCAACATTTGCAGGTGGAAATGACACAATCTTCTTTTTACAAATGAGAAGTTGAAGCAATAAAAGCAATAGCAATAAGGCACACCAGTAATTTTGCTATCACAGTCTTACTTGGTCTGGTTTAACCAGTAGTTTATGTTAGCTAGTATTAGCAAACTTTAAACAGACATTGCAATGAACATTAAGCATTTAGCGGTTAGCATTAACCACCGTTGTCACAAGCTTACATAGTCTAATATATACAGCATGTCTGAAATTTTTAAATGCAAAACATATAACAGAATTGTCAATATCTTCAGTTAGCTTCTGTGAAAGGAATAGTTTGATCTTGTTGCTGAGAGTGAGATGAGAAGATTGACACCAATATCATTTCTGTCCGTTAAATATAAGGCTAGAGGAAACAGTCCGTTTGTTAGTCATGTGGCTCTGTCCAGAGGAAACTAAATCTGTCTCTGAAGCTCACGACTTAAAACATTATATCTTATTTGTTTAACATATATAGTTTGTCTCAAAACTCTCCTGTAAAACCACAATGATTGGTGTGTTTTTTTTATTTTTTATTTTGTTACCTTTGGACAGAGCCAGACTAGCTGTTTCTCTCTGTTTCCAGTCTATATGCTAAGATAAGCTAACAGGCTGCTGGCTGTGGCCTCATGATTAGCACACAGACCTGACCCACATTGCCATTGAGACGACTCCTCATCATGTCAACTTTGCTCCTTTAACTCATCCAAACAAAGCTGGCACAACAACGTTCTCTCATTCCATGTTCATACAGTTTATATTGAATGGTGAAGGTGCAGCAAAACATTTGTGCCTTCAACAGGCGCTGTAAAGGAGGCTAGTCATATCAATCCTCTCTTCTAACTCTTAAAAATACTTAATCCTCTGTTATGTCGCATTTACACTGGACAAAAAACCTGCTAGCATCTGGCTTCTGTTTTCAGCGTGAAAAGGTCCAATTTGTATTTGTTCCCAGGTCATATAACTCTGCAGGAGTCAAGGATCCGATCAGTAGTGATGTAAACATGACACACAGGTGACCCCAGGTGTAACGTCTTTATGCACAAACACTGTAAACACCTGTCACCTGGAAAGCTTGGTGCTGTTGCACCTTCTGCTGAGAGTGAGTTGCAACCCTGAAATAACACAATCACCAGTTGAGTGTCTGTCTCCTCTCAGGCTACGTCCACACTACTACATTTGAAAACAACACTTAGTAGTGCAGACGATCTCCGTCCAGACTTTCACACCTGAAAACGCATAAATACCTGAGTAGTCAGGTACGCTGGGCATGTGTGAGCCAGAGTAAACAGGAAATAGGTTGTCAACTCAGTTGATTAGTTGCAAAAAATACTATGAACGAGGAAAAGTGCAAACAGCTGCAGTGTTAAAATACAGAATTTAGCTCCTCAACAGCTGCTAGCGATGACAACAAGGTCAGTAACACTGTAATTCATTATCATGTTGTATTCACCACTGGTAGTCCAGGCTGATGAGAGCCAATCAGGAGAGACCATGGGTGTGGGGAGTTTTCAAACTAAAACTGGTCCAGCAAAGTTTACAAAAGTCTCCATTTTCGGTGCTTGAAAACCCCAGAGTCATATGGACTGGAGGAGGAAATGTAGCAGAAGAGATGAGTTTTAAAACAAAAACGTAGTAGTGTGAACGTAGCATCAGTTTGAACAGAAAGGCAAACTCGTCTGGCAATGTGAAAGGAGTCAATCTTACCTGCGTTTAAAAAAACCTGCTTCTATGTGTCAATTTTGATGTAAAAAGTTCTACTATATAGTATGTAGATATACTGTAGGTGCATATATATGTATCGAAATAAAAATGATTGTGGCAGCTGCACATTTCAGTAGTTTGAAGTTGTGAACGTTAAAGTAAACTCTTATGAAATTGGACTTATGTAACGTGTCGTGTGAATTTTGCAGCTTGAGTGTCAGTAACAGATGTAAGAGCAGCCACACCTTCAACACTCTTAAACTATGATGAGAAATAGATTAGTGACTCGTCATGTCCAGATATGTGGACCCATCTTTTCCATTTCCATGAAGGAAGTGGACGTTTGACTTATGACCAAACACACAGGCAGTGCATGATGGGATGGTACTTTCCCCTCATCGCTGTCAGCCAGTAAGACTGAGTGATGTCACTCAGTCCTCTGAGGATTTCTGTTTTCCAGCACATCATGTCCTGAGGTGACTGACACTGTCAGTGGACTGAAGCTTCAGTACAGGAGTTCTCAGTGTTAGTGAGTGTGACATCTGACGAGGTGTTTACAGTATAGTCTGTTTTTTGACTTAATTTTATCACAGTATCTCTCAAATAAAGAAATATATATTGGGATGTTTATCGTACCTTTCCTACCAGTTTCCCCTTCCGGTTCATGCAGATGTAACGCCCACTTTCTGCACCTCTTATCCTCACTCGACTGCCGAACGTGTCCGTCTCAACAAATAGACGAGCTGCCGGAGAAAAATAGAGGGAGAACGTCAAGACAACAGAGTTATTAATTAATATTAATCTCTTCATTTTTTAAATATTTGTTTGTATTTTCAAGAGTTCCAGATGATACAAAAACATGATAATTAACAAATATTATTTAGACTTTAGTGTATTGATGTTGACAATTTCTACTTTACTGCACAGTGTCAGATATGAAGAGTGTTTAAGGTCTATGTAAAAAGGTTGTCTGTAAAGTTAGTATAAGAATTAGTTTGAGAATTAGAATGAGTTATAATTGTGTTTGTGAACACTGTGGGACTAATAAAGGAATATCTTAACTGTTATTTTCCCACTGACCTAGGTATGCCTCTGGAAATCACCTCTAACACTGAATAATTAAACCAATGTGACTGAATGGCCGAACATTAAAGAGCTGAACTGGAAGCAGAATAAACATCCCCAGCTGAATTTGTCCTGCAGTTAATTATGGCCATTGGGCATTACAACAGCCTTGTGTATTAGGGTATAGAGACAAAGGACTTGCCCTAATCAGCCGCTAATTTGCTAGACGATGGATTCATGGATGCAGCAGGGAGGCTGAATTAACATAGAGGCCTGAAAACACCTCACAGAGGGAAGAAACAGGCTGGAGGTGAAACTGCTGTTTGTGCCTGAGGACGTTGGGCCCCTGCAGGGAGTCTGAGCCTTTAGTGTTAGGGGCCAAAAAATGTCATTTGATCAGAGTTTTTCCTCCTCTCTGTCGATAAGTGCTGCTCATTGTGGGAACTGTTGGCTTCTCTCTATATCTCTTCTCTCGCTACAGGTCTTCACCTTTATGATTTGATGCTGTGCAGATAAAACTTAATTGAATTGAAGTTCTTCTGGAGAATATCTCTACGTGCGTGCGTGCGTGTGTGTGTGCAAAAATCACAGTCAACATATAGAGTAAAACTGCCTGAACATCCTCTGTTTTCAAACATATTGTAACTATCAGACTTTTGTTTCTCCTATGTATCATCACATACAAGTCACAAAGCAAAGCATGTGACTCCCTGACAAATTATTATGAAGCAATCTTTTAAATTCCAGGATACACAGAAAAATAAACATAGACTCACAAGTTGTGATTATATTTTCAAATCAGGCACATGAATGCTGGAAATGACATTTCTCTGTGCAACATACTAAAACTAAAAAAAAATGCATTCATATGTATTGATTCTACCTGCCACTATATTTTCATATAATTAAAATATAATTATACATTCATATTTTGCTTGTGTTGTATAGAAAGAACGAGGATGTGTCAAACATTCTTGTGTAATCATTTTTCATGCAGACGTTTACAAGAGTTTTGGAGGTTTCTGCATAAGAGTTTTTATTTCTCAGAAAATCTTCACTCAGCTCTGTGGCTGCAGTGTAATGGAAAGAGGTTAGTCTAAACTTTCTTCATTAAAAAAAAAAAGTGGTTTTGTTAGAAATGAGCCAATGCCTCTGATACAAATGACTGCAGGATCCCTGTGGATCTCCTCTGTTAGAAGTCTCCACTAAGAACTACAAGATAAATGTCATGCAAGGTGAGCAGCAGACCTCGGGTCAGCTCTTACCGTACATATTTCCATCCTCAGCTGTGGCGGTGACCCTTTTACCCTGAATCTGGACGTGCTTCCCGCTGGTGCGGCTGTAGAGCTGGTACACCCTGATCTGTCTGCGGCTGAGCTGGTCCGTCACTGCGCCCTGCGTCCTCACATACTGGTTAAAATTAGGAGACGGGTGATTCTCCCCCTTTTTATGTAAAGGGAAAAATAAAATACATAATTTTTTTTCTTTCTAATCTGGGGTAAAGAAATGTGTAGCCAATTTTACAACCACCACAACAGGTCGAAATTTCCCTTATAACTACCAGACACTAGCCTAGGCCTAAAGTTTATAATATAATATAATATAATATAATATAATATAATATAATATAATATAATATAATATAATAATAATTAATGTGATATTCAGGAGTGAGTTATTACAATTAGCACTATCCTAATTATAAAATAATGTCTTTGAGAGTGTGTTTACCTGAGCATGGCACCATAGCACGAAGAAATGAAAAGATCTGCAACAACAAATGAAGACTTGTTATTATAAAGACGTCATTTTGTGGCAATCGTGCAATCACAAGTTTACGACCCAGTCCGTCGTCTTACATGTAAACACAGCGCCGGTTGATTCCATACATTCTCCTGTTTATTTCATCCGATCAAGGAGCGACTCTGGAGGAGGGTAATCCCGGATGGACGCGGTGAGTAATTCCAACGGTGCTTCCACAGTGTCGCATATGCGCCTCTGACCTGTCCATCCACACCAACTGAGTCTCTGATATAAACCACCGACCTCTTATTCCCCCCTCACATTTAGGCTTCAAAACCCTGATCCAGCAGACTGAGCGGTGAGGAGCTCTGCAGGAGATTTGTGCAGCGCATCAAAACCACAGACATCCATTATTATTATTAAAGAAAAAAGTTTGACATCACTAGGGTTAGATGTGATCGGTCCCGGCTGTGTGGAGGTCTGCTCGGGGTAATTCCAGGTTTTGAAAAGCACCTCTGTCAGGCTGGTTAAATGTTGAAAGGCAAAGTCCCTCCCTGGGTCTGCCTGCTGTGGGTGGGCACAGCCAGGAGCCCTGAGCTGCTTTAATACAGGAACAGATGCCCAGAAAAAGAGATTATTCTCGTTTTTTAAGGAGTAATGTCACGTTTAGGTTAAAAAAAAAAACTGCTCTTTAAGTTTTAGTTTTAACTTTTATTCCCTGTCCCTCTGTCTGCTCTAATGTGGATCATTACTGCTGCATTGTATTTAAAAGCAAGGAGACTAATCGCACCTTATGGGTGTGGCAATTAGGTGTTAAAGAAAAGCATTCCCACCACCCACCCCCCCATCACACTTCCCTTTTATCTCATGTTGACTGGCCTCATGTAAGAGGGGCCGAAAACAAATCATTTAGACAAAAAGGCAGTTTCACCTTCACATAATGAGCAATCAACATCTAGAGATGAATGAGACCCTCTGTGAACAATTCATTCATTCATTCACTGAGAGAAGAGGTATGTATGTATATGTATATGTTATGTATATTCTAACATATATATTTTAGTAACTTCTGAGTCACAGTTTGTGTCAGTGGACATCAGTGTAACATGAAGCTTCAAGTGCCTCCACATCTTGCCCTTCTCACGTTCTCTTGACCCCCATCGCCCCCGTCCAAGGCACTAAAGTGGTCAAATGCAGCAGTGAGACATCTCTGACAGGAGCCAGCAGCAGCTCCATGGTTCCACGTGTTGGTGTCACTTCTTACTGTGAGACAGTGTCAGACCATCAGTCCACTGTTTCTTTCATATCAGAAACAGTGCGTGTTATTATCATGTGACTGAGAGGACAGGACGGCAGCTGTGAGGAGTTTTATGTGTCCACACAGCTGGATGTTAGTCAAGATGATAATGACTCTTCATCACCAGGAAAACCTGACAAGCGTTTTCTTAAGTGATTAACTTGGCAGGACAACTCTGTAAAATAAATGGATGAAACACTGAAACAGTAAAGTTTGTTAAGATAATAACAGAAATGTTAGTTTTACCTATACGTGTTGCTAACTAATGTTTGTGAATGTATGTCATTATTGCTATAATTAATTCATCTTATGAATGTATATTGATACATTTCTACTCTGTTTTGATTATTAGGTCACTTACTAACCCACTAACTTTGTTCACAATACAGGATACAGACATATATTTAACATGACATAGCAGGACAAGCATACGTGTAATTTATACAACAAAGGCACATGTTTCCGTCAATTCTCAAACCAGAGAAATCTGTGATTTTTTAATCAACGTTTCATTGGTCACCTGTCAGTGACATCATGTCCTCCATGATCATGTGTTCCAGATGAAGGATTTTAGTCGTCGGACGTCTGGATCTGAAGTTATCAGAGAAACAAGCTGAGGAAATGTTAGACAGCTCAGCTCCCAGCTGCTGGAGACGTCCTGTCCTGTGTCACTGAAGAGCGTCGCTGAATCTCTGAGTTTTAAAGTCAAACTGCTTCATGGGTGTTTCTACTGGTTTTAATCCCCTGGTGTGTTTGTTATGGAGAGGAGGACACCTCTGTGGATGATTCAGCTGCTGGTAAAAACCTGCTGAACGTCTGCTTCATAAGTTATCAGAGAAACAATCAGAACAAAGGTTAGCATCAATGTCAGCTCCAGCTCTTCCCTGAGTCTCTGTCCTCCGTACAGCGTCGCTCAAACACTGACTTTAAATGTCAAACTGCTTCATTCAGTGTTTTTAACAGTTAGAATCACTGGGTCTGTTTGATTTCCTGAACCACTCACACTGAAGGAATCCAACCCTGGAGGAGCTTACGGTAATGGTGGTGAAGACAATAACTTCTATGATTTACAGTGACTCAGCATGCACAACAGTTATGTTGTCAGTGTTGTGCATAAACGTCTTCAATGAACAGTGCGCATTGAAGACGTTCATATTTTAAGTGAATGCTGAACTGAACAAATTAGTTTACAAATGATGAACATGAACATCAGCAGCGTTCACTCCAGCCTTAGTGAACGCTGCTCACGTTTTACGTTTACGTTTACGTTTTACGTTTTACATTTTACGTTTTACAGTATATATACATATATATACATATATATATATGTATATATATAACATAACATAACAAGACACATCAGATTGAACTACTTGTCTGTAACCTCTGTTCATTATTAGGGCACAACTGTTTTTGATAGAGCCAGTCCTATAAATGCGAACAACTGACTGACAGAGAAATCACAGCTCAGTCTTTGTCTTTTACTGATGTGTTTGATGATGTTGTCAGACAACGTCATGATTATAAAATCAGGATTTTAGCAGCAGCTTGACTGCTGGTTAACATGTCGTCTTAATGGGCTGATACTAGAATACCAGTACTACATGGTCCAGTCATATACTGGGCTTTGACCTAGACTTATTTAGCTAAACAGAGTGTAAAGGCATCCAGACAAGTGTAGTTTTGTGATGCTAACCAACAGACCAGGTCACGTCAACCCAGACCAGCTGCAGCGGCGGCTCAGGAGATCAGCTTCCAGCTCAGATCAGATCTTTCTCTCTGTGCTCCTCTTTTCTGCCACACTCCACACTGTCAGGTGAATTGGAATTTTTTTTTTTAAATAATTAGCCTAAATTAGCCCTCTATTATTTTTCATCCATCCTCAGCTCACAACAGACCTGAGAAGTCACCATCTCTCTCCTTCCTGCTATTTCCTTGGGTTTCCTCCAATCTGAATGTGCCTGGAAACTCACTTCACATCAACACATCCAGACAAATCCTGATCAGATGCTTCCTCAGTGCAAGATATGACGTCTTATTTACACAACTGCGCTGCTCATAGATCAACTCAGCTCTCTCTTCACCATTGATCTCTCAGCTTCAAGTTCCATGTTAGCCTCAAGACCCAGAGAGAACTCCTTCATCTGAAGCAGCAACTCACTCCTAAGAGGTTATGTGTTGATATGTTAAAGTTGTTGGAATGACTTTGCTTTGTTTTGTCAGCAGCATGTTCTCAGGACGATCGTGTTGGTTCGTCAGGCCAATATGAAGAATATATAGTCTACACATTTCCTCACAAAGCGATCTTTTTTGTGCTCTTCTTTTGCTGCCAACTTCAGGTCACATTTATTTCTGTGATCAACGTTGGTGCATGAAAAGATGCCATGAAATATTCAGATTTGCTGAGGATATTCATGTAAATGTCGGCGGAGGGATATACTGTAGAAATGGGATGTGGCTTAAGGGGAAAATGGGCACAACACAGAATCAGTCTCATCCACTTGAGTGTGTGAAGTGATGCAGAGATGTGAGGCCATGTAACCCGATCATATTTCTGTGAGTCTCTGTGGCAGACACTCAGGCTGGAACAGAAGAGCTAGATGGTGACAGACATGCAGGCAGAACAGGTGAGGATCTCAGCCATGCTAGCAGCACGGTCTGTCTCCTTTCATCTTGTTTCAAATATATAGACACCTATTGGATGGATTGCTGTGAGTTTTGATGCAGGTAACCATGGTGATGAATACTAATGAGTTTGGTGATACCCTGACTTTACATGTAGAGTCACCGTGAGATTGACAGTTGAGGTTTTAAGGGTCAGTTATCATGACTTTTCATCATCATCATCATCATCATCATCATCATCATCATCATCATCATCATCATCATCATCATCATCAGGTCAAAACTTAAATTTGTCGAATACTTTGGTTTATGACCAAATCCATACAAAACTAGTGACAATTCAGTAAGCCTCAGCTTTATTTCTGCATAGTACTAATTAGCAAATATTAGTATGCTAACATGCTAACCTAAAGCTACATCCACTATACATTTTTGTTTTAAAATGCATCTCTTTTCATATGTTTCCTCCTGGCGTCCACATGACTCCAGAGTTTTCGAGTCCCTAAAACAGACTTTCAGAAACTCTGCTGGACGTGTTTTATTTTGAAAACTCTGGGTTTGTGTTGTCGACAAATTTTAAAACAAATGACGCAGACACCCATGTTTGCTCCCTGATTGGGCCTGATCAGTCATGGCTACCAGTGGTGAATACAGCAGGATGATTATTCACAAGTGTTACTGACCTTGCTGTCTTTGCTAACAACTGTTAAATTCTGCATTTTAATGCTACAAGTTCCTCATTCATAGTATTTTCTGCAACTAACCAACTGCAGATCTGCAATCTGCGACTTCCTGTTTACACCGGTGCCCAGTGTAGGTGAATGGCCATGTGATATGTATTTTCAGGTGTGTTTGTATACGGATATCGTTTTTGTTTTAAAATGAAAATATATAAGTGTGGACGCAGCCTAAGACAGTGAACATGATAAACATTATACTTGATAAACATCAGCATGTTAGCATTATTGTTGGGAGCATGTTAGCATGCTGATGACAGATCTGCTAGTATGGTTGTAGACAACTTTTTTTCATTATCAAAAAGAAACAGAAAAGTCTGGACAAAGATTTGGACAAAGGCAGGAAATAGCTGCTTAAGGTCCATGTTTTTCTTTAGCTCTAACTTTGTGCTAATTTGATTCATTGTGAATTACAGCTCTTTTTGTGCCCCTGGGCCTCCAGCTGTGAACAGTATATGCTGCTAAAACAACATTCAGTTCTTGAGATTTAAAAAACCACAACCCTCAGTTTTTTTCATTCATCCCTTTAAAGTTTTTTGTATGAACTTTGGTTCACATATGAAGATGTAAAACTGCATCGTCCACATATTGTTGAGCATAGTTGGTAATATCTTCACACATTGTGTGGGTAACAATTCCAGATCATCTTAAATAATCATAGAAACTAGATCTGTTTATGAAATTCATTTAACTTAATTGTGTGGTCTTCTTATTACCGGGAGAAAAAACCACCTTACAGACTTGCTGAGTGGTTTTTCAGAGACTTCAAGCAGTAATGTCCCACACTGCTCGGGTCCTCCTTGGGGCCACTGTTGTTCCAGCGACA